TTGCTGAGTGAAGGAATGAAATGTGAAGGGTACAAGAGAGGTTGAATTTCTTGGAAGGTAAAAAAGGAAGTAATTTTAAATTGGACTTCAACAGCCTGAAATGCTGAATTGGACATGATAGATTTATAAGTGTTGTGACATTGGTCTGTACTATTGTGAACCTGTCAAACGAAATGTCTGGGAGTCCTGGGGATGCAGTTTAGTCTAGCTTGAGTAAAAAAATCCTTTTACATTCCTGTAGAATAAATGGAATTGGGATAGTGGTGTGCATGTGCAATTTATTTTAGGAATTGCTAGTTTAAATTGTGCAAACAGGTATTTTAGGAGAAAACATTATTTCGTATTTTGGAACATGTGGTATAACACATGAATATTCAGTATAGCACTTAGTTTGCTAAAAATGGGCATGCACTTATCATGAATACCTTCAGAGCATTTATGAAATAAATTATGTAAGAATTTAACATCCCATTTTATATTAATTGTTAAGGAAAGATTAATATAAGAGACTATAATTAATAGTAACAATTTAACTTAATCCTTTTATTACCTGGTACATAAAGAAAAACATAGCTGATTATTTCTAATTTAATGATGTTTGTTGCTATTGTGAGACTAACTGTAAGTTGTTGAGTTTTTTTATTTGGCATGGTCATTGGGCACTTTGCATTTTATTAAGTGATAATTCTGACATTATTTTTAGCCCCTTTATATTCCATTTAAATGTTGGATATTTAGGAATAGATGATTTTCATAATCTGCTTTTGTGTCCTATGAAATCATTCCACCATTATGTCAAAAGCGTGTTTTAGCTGTCTTTAGTAGATGTCAGACAGTAACTCACTTTCTGTGGTGTTGTGAAGTGTTCGGCTGTATGTTTTTAAGTTTAGCTGACATTCACACTAGTGACAAAAACAAAAAGAAATTATAAACATTAACAGCACAGAGTAGAAATTTCATGTGAAAAAATAAGAATGTAGGACAAATTCTGCCCTCAAAAGTTATTCTGAACAGCCATTTCATGGACTCTGACTTGTGCTCACATGCTAAATGACAAAACTCTAAACTCTTTGACCTGTAAAGTGTAGTATATGAATGCTGAAAGACTTTATGTATAGACTCTCGGTCTGGTCTGTAAAAAATGTGTATAGGTGAAGACACCAGCACTGAATTTGATGTACTTTTGTGATTCACAAAAGCATTGTGGCTATTTGGAGCACAGTGTGAAATTGTCATTAACATGGACAACAAACAATAGCTACGTAAGGGTGAGGCAGATGGGGTTGTTTTCCACTTATCTAAACTGTAATGTTAAAAAGAACATCAGCTATTTTAGGATCAGGAACAGGCCATCTGCCCAAATTGTGTGCCCTTCCAGCTTTATCTAACTCCTATATTATTATTTTCATTGGAATGTTGTTACATTATTTCTGCTTTTTGTTTCCTTGAGAGATGCTTAATCTCATTACCTGATCAACTTTCCAACTAGATTTTTCTCTAAAAATGCCAGGTCTTTTTTTAATAATTGTATTTCTCTACTCAAATATTTTGCTTCCAAGTATTATGTTTCATTGATAATTTTTTTAGTAGTCAGACAACATCTGTCCTTACTGGGAAGTGTTGGAAATGATGTGACAGTCTGGCAACAATAGTAGCAGGAAATAAGCAAAGAACCCACAGGGAGCATGGAAGGGAACAGAGAATTTGCATCAAGGCAAAGAAAAGGGCTTTGGGAAAAAGGGTGTAAAAATAATTGAAGCTGAGAGACAGAAAGATAAGCGAGAGACATTTTTAAAAAGCATTATTTAGCTGAAAGAGGAATTTAATTTGTAGTTTTTCAGAGTTTCTGAAGGAAGGAAGGAATGACTTAATAAAAGATTCGGTTGCTTTGAACATACTTCAATATATATGCAGCTTTATATCTCTCTGAGAATATTGTAGTTGAGTAGGTAGATGTACAACAAATTTATTTAAAGTTTTTCTTATTGTTCAAAAGAACAAGTCTTTTAAACATGGCTTAGTCTTCTATTTCGTTTTGGTCACCCCAGCTGTAGAAATGAAACACTACTTAATGTAGCCAGAAAAATAACATAACCATAGTCAGTTGCACACCATAGGGTCTGTTTTCATTATTCATTACTAGTTTTACTGTATGCCTATGTTATTTACAAAGGTTATTTGTACATTTTGTCTCAGAATACTGAAGTGCAGCTAAACATGGACAGAATGTAGTCTGGTATTTCATTTTCACACTGCCCTATAATGGAAACATTGAAGAAGATGCAACTCCTTTAGAATTTTTATTGAAGTTGAAGTGAATAGCTCAAGTCTCAGTTTAAAAGCACAGTTCTGACTAGACAGGTTATGATTGTGTATTTTAACATTCCAATCATGCAAAGCTTGCCAAGTTTCAATAATATATTGAATTTATCCATAAATTGAGTAATTGCAATTCTCTTATTAAATATCTAACTTATATAGTTGTCATATGTGGAAATGAAGATTGGTGGTTTTTGCTTTTAATTTTCGCAAACTTTGTCGTCTAGCTTAATTCTTGTTCTCTGTCTTGATTTAATGTTTACTGAATGTTTAGATTATCTTTCTCTTGTTTTTATAATCCTTCTCTTTTTTCGTTGTTGTTGTTTAGCATTTTCCCTGAGTATCTATGTAGTCTTTTCCTGAGAAAATGAGTTCCAATTACTGCCAATGGTATTAAAGGAAAAGCTATTCAAATTACACATTTGGAACATCAGCCAACTGACCTACCAAAACACTAGGTTTGGAAGGTCAGCCTGCATTCCAGAAAGATGTTGGGGGGAGGTGTTTCCTACCTAGCAGGCAATACTACATTTTTTTTTTTTACTCTGGATATATTTCTAGTCATCTGTTTTATGACTTCTACAAAAACTGCATGCAACTGTTATTATTTTTTCAAGTATGTTTTCAAATCTTTAGCATGAGATGAAATTTCAGTCTCTTTTTGGCTATTTTGGGTTGTGTCAATGGCTGTCTCTTCTATTCCATTTAGCTATTTCCTTCAAAATGTCTTCTGAAGTTTTAATAATGAACTTGTCATACTTACTGTATACTTTCTTCCATGTAAAATTTCTTGTTTTGTCAGTGCCACACATCCACCCTATTCAGTTCAATAATAGCATTTTTTTTTTCCTTATGTCTGACAGTGTTGCTTTTAAATTTTTTTTCTTGTCAGCTCTTCTAGAATTGTCTGGTATGTGAACTTATTTTCTGTACTATATAGCAACATTTTTCAGAAAAGTCTCTTCTGGTTTCAGATAAAAAAGGATATGTTATAAGATTATTGTTATCATTGTGTCTTACTGACCAGCACAACATTATGGGAAGAATTCCAGTTTCTATTTTAAGTTATCTTGAGGTCATTACTTCAGGATACACAAGTAGAATAAGTTTTATTAGAGAATTTTGGAAATGGAAATTTCCTTTTAGGATATAAATCAACATATTTTTCCTCCAATCTCTTATCTAGGTTGTATGGGTACTTTTTTGAGTTAAGATTTCACAGCATTTTAGCTAAATTAGAAACTGAAATTTTCCTATATAAGATAGCAGTTGACTGTGTTAGCTGATGAAATATTGCAATTTATTTTTTAAATGGCAGCACATTTTTTACCAAAAAGTAAATACTTCATATTTTTATGAATAAAACATTATCTTTCTAGTAGCTGATAGAAAAAAGTAATATAAACTGATTATTTTTTTTTTCAGTGTTGTATTTAGGTATTCCTAGCCAGATATTTCAAATACTTATTTTTGCCTTCTCTGTTTTTATTAGTGGTACATTTCAGAAGGAGGTTTGCTGTCAAATGCCAAAGAAAAATTAATCTATTTCTACTCTTCTGGTTTGAATAACCAGCAAGTACTGCTTTTAATGAATTAATGCATTAAAGCATTTTAATGCATTCCTGAGAGAAAACTATGAAATAAATGGAAAGACAAGTGTGTAATAATACTTGTCTGTTTCTGAGGAAATTAAATATAGTTCCTTATCAGTTTCTTCCTCCATTAAAGAGAGTAAACATCCCAATTAATGAAATACATGAAAATTTTAGCCCTATGCTGTGTGTAGAAAAAAACAACCCTTGTATAAATGAGGAGATTGTGAAAAAACATACTTCAACACAACTAAGTTATTTCTATTATTTTAAAGACATTTTACTTTGCTGAAAAAACTACTATTACTTTTTTTTTTTTGCATGTTTGTGGAAAATGCAAATAAATATGCATTATGCTATTAAAGCTACAAGGTGAATTTATTACTTCCTAAGGACTTCAGGCTTATGTAGGATATCTGTAAAAAGAATAGCTGTCCATTTTTATATACAGTTACACAAGAATTCCACTGCTCACCTGTTGCTTCTGTGGGGATTTTGACATAAAGAATGTCCTTGGTTATGGAAAATGTTAATGCCATGGAGATGTTTCTGTGTAGAGATTAAAGATGTTATGTTTATATGCATGGTGGTTCACAGTACTGCCCTGGGAAGCGTTGCCTTGTATTCTAGAAGAGACTACTTTTGTCTAGTAATAAAATGGTGCAATACAAATACATGGAAATAAAGATCTGCAGGCTCACATGTTGCTAAGAGAACAGAAGTATTTCACACAGATGCATAAAAGTGTATAAAATAAAAGGATCAAAGAACTATTCATTAACCAATATCCATGCTGAAATCTATTTAAGTGGGTTTAAGTGGCCTCATCTCCAACATCCCTTTTACCTTTATAATGTTCTTAGGGCAAATAAACTTTGATAAAAAACTATCACAAAGCTTACGTTTCTGTTAGAAACATTATACAACCTAAAATCAGCAAAAATATCCTTTGTGCTCAGATTAGCATTTTCATAGGCGAATATGTAAAGAGATATTTTACCAGACTTTGGATTGTGTTTGTTTATTGTCAGACAAGAACTCCCAGAAAGGTGGGGTGTTTTCTTTAGAAAAAAACCAAGACAAAAAGTGTTTTGATTTTAATCAAAAATGTATTTTCTCATTAAAAAAAATTCACATACTTACTGTGTCTACTCTACAGAATTTGTCCATTTCATTACACCATATGTCAATCCTAGTATATCTGTTCACTGCAAAAACTCGTGGCTATTTTGTGTAATACAGCACAGGAGGAGGTATTGCTCAGTTCCACTACTTTTATATAATAATTTAAAAAAAATACAGAAAATGTTCTTGGCTACTTCCACTGTATTCCAGACTTAAAAGTCCCATGAAAGTTCTAGAATATGAAGTTAATTTTATTTGGTTGGTAGAATACCCTTAGAAGCCAGTTAATTAAAATTCTTCTCTCATACTGAGTCATATATATTCCATTTGATGGCAGCAACAAAGTCCAGGCATCTAGTTCCTAAGAGAAATATGTTTTTCTTGTTGCCTTTTTATTCAGCACAAATAGAGTCATGTGCTTTTTATTTCAGAAAGTGATATACTGACATATTTATGACATATTTGTTGGTACACCTATTACAGTTGCTTTTACTTCCATTGCTGTGCTTTTTTCTTTGCCCATGTCCCAAAGAGTGATTAGGGGAGGATAAAGCTCATTGAGTGAAAAGGATTGTTTCTTCAGGTAATTCCTTAGATAGCTGTGTCCAATGCCATAGTTCATATCTTGAGAGATGCAGCTATAGAGATATATCACAGATATGATTCCCAAAAGAGCACCAAGGCCAGCAAGGAATCCTATTATGTTGTTCTTTTCATAGCCTTTCACTTCCAAGTCCAGTCCTTTTGTGGTTACATTGACACATTGTTTCCTATTCTGAGAATAGATAGTGGGAATATCTATACAAATTTTGTATTCAGTTGATGGATTTAGATGTGTAAGATTATATACCTTTATATCAGATGGTATTCGAGCACTCTGTGCAGCCCGGGAGTCTTCAGCTTTCGCAAAGGCTGTCCATCTAACAGTGGACTTCAGAATTTTAGAACTTGCTTTCCATGAAACCAAAACAGAATTAGATTTTATGTCTTTTATTTTAATATTTAAAGATCCATTGTGTTCCTGAGGGAAAGAGCCGTCCACTTTAATCATGACTGACTTTACGTCTGCCCCAACTAAATTTGTTGCTATACATGTGTATAAGCCACTTTCTCTTTGCGTTACATCACTTATGTCTAACGTTCCTTCGGAATGAATGTAGTACTTATCAGAGACAGTATTAGGCAAAAGTTTGTGTCCTGATGGTGTTATCCAGTAGATTTCAGGTTCTGGCTCTGCTGTTGCTCTGCAGTGCAAAGAAATATGGCTGCCAGCTTTTAAATCCAATGTAGATGGAAAACTTTCAGGAGCTATCAGAGGAAGACAGATTTCCATCATTTCCCGAAAGTGTACCTGTCTCACATTCTGACCTTGGAATTCAGGAGGGTCTACACAAAACAGGGACTCCGGCTCCATGAACCGAATGTTTGTTTTATTCATGTTAATCCAGCGGATGACACAGTCACACCTGATGGGGTTGCTGTGTATGCTGACTTCTTTGAGGTTAGGCAGGGATTCCACCGTGCTGCGGTACAGCGCACTCAGCGCGTTGCTGTTGAGCATGAGTGATTCCAGCTTGGGAAGTCTGTAGAATGCATTGGGGTGAATGTATGATAATCTGGGGTTATTGGTTGCTTCTATTTTTCTTAAATCAGGCAAATTATCAACAGCAAGGCTATCTATAGAAATCAGTTCAGGCATGTTGTTAATTCCTAACTCTTTTAGGTGCAGCATATTGCTAAAATCTCCTCGTCGTATTCTGTTAATGGGGTTCTTATTTAGATCCAGAAATTTAAGATTTGTAGCCTTTTGAAGAGCGATGTGGGGCACTCTAACAAATCTGTTGTCATAAAAGGAAATGCTTTCTAAGTTGTCAAGGCCAGCCAAAGCATTATCTGGTATTTCAGTGAGATTTATACCTGCTAAAACTAGGCTGCGCAGATTGCTAAGAGGCTTGAAGTTCATGTCTTCAATTCTGATTATTGGATTTTCTCCAATCATGAGAATTTCAAGATTAGGAGTAGCTTCAAACCACTTTCTGTTGATCACTTGCAGTCCATTTGAATTGAGATGAAGTCTGAGAAGATTATTGAGGCCTATGAAAGCTCCTGGTGCAATCACAGAAAGCAGATTATGATTAATATAAAGCTCTTGTAAATTGTTGAGTCCAGAGAGACATTCTTCAGGGAGCTCAGTAAGTTTGTTTTCTTCAAGGTACACTGACAGTAACTGTGGTATCTTTCTAAGATTAATACTGGTCACTGAGGATAAATTGTTCTGAGATAAATCTAGACCAGTTAAATTCACTGGGAAGTCTACTGAATGTTCAATTTTTGCAATATTATTAGTTTGTAGAAGTAGAACTTGTGTGTCAGCAGGCAGTGTGGTTGGAAAATTAAAAAGGCCTAAATCATTGCAGTCCACAGTTGGAGCTTCCATGTAGACAGACCTGGGGGTGAACCATGGTCTGATTTCACATATACATGACTCCGGGCAGTCTGCTTTTCTTCCTACGGCTTGTAGTAGAGCAGTGGTAACTAGACCAAGCAGTAAATTAATTTTAAGTTGCAGGTCCTTCATCTTAGCCTAAATGTTCAGGAAAGTAACAGACCCTTTAGTATTCCACAATTGTAGTCTTGGTATTCAATATGACCTGGTCAGTTAATACAGCACAATCTTGCATTTATCAAATGATGATCGTGAAGGACTTCCTTCCTGAGGGTAAGTGATAAATTTGTAACCAACTTGTCCAGTAGTAAGAAGCATTTTGTGGAAATGAAGGTCACTTCGTCCTTGATGACATAAAATTGATGAGCTTTGTGAAGATGAAGTATGTATAGATGGTCATAGGAGATTAAACAATTCATTTATTTAGTAGTATTAACTTCAAATCCCATGATTGATTAGTGTTTGTAGGAACGACAAGATGACCTAAAATACAAGAAGAGGAAATAATTAGTATAAGAAGCTATAAAGTTATAAATTAATTTAGCCATCTTTTGCTCTTTACTGTTAATTATTGCAAGTAAGAAAAGAAAATGATTGTGGTGTCTGGAGTATTATAGTGGTATCCAGATAGCATAAATTAAGTTAATAGAGTAATATGTCTTTACACTTTTAGCTTGTCATACATCCAGGGGAGCATTGTTCTACAGAAAGATGAAGATCCACAGAGTATAAAGTAAAATATATCAGTGGGATTTTTCTACATATTTTATCCTCCTTTAAAATATTTTCTTGTTCAGTTATCTCTAGAAGCAGACTAATTTCTGTTGGCTTTGAAAATGTAAATACTGAGAAAAATCCTACGGAGCATGAATATTTAACTTTTTTACATAAAGTTTGTAACTATAAAGAATGTAATTTATCTATAATGAAAGGGAAATGGAATGGTTGGATTAATACACATTCCTAATGACATTCTCAGGCAAGCCTGTGAGATATTTATATATAAATATATGAAAGTGAAAATCCACAGGTTTTATAATTTTTAATACTTTTGTAGCTGCTGTCTAGAAAGAAAACATTTTTTTTTCTTTAATATGCTATTTAGAAGGAAATATATACCTTATAATAAATAGCTTGTCATCTTGGCAAATTCAGGCTAATCACTGACTTTCTTATTCTGACTTCAATAACCTCAATTGCAAGGAATATTAGCAAAAAAGTGTCTTCAGAGTGATAAGGAAAAAAAAATTACACTAGCAATTGCTTCTTTGCCCTGTAGCTCTGCAAGAATCTGAAGCCTGTAGACTGTTTTCAGGTCCCAAATTATAGCAAGGACTGAAACCTTGTGGCATCAAAGCCACTTGTGGCATCAAATGTGCGCTTTCCAGATTTTTGGTATGTACTTTCTTTTTGTGGAGAAAAATCTGACTTTGAGTGTACATTTCTTTCCAACGCATGTAATACAAAAGCTTCTGTGTTTTCTTATATAAAGTAGTACACATTCACTGTTTAATTTACTTAAGAATATAGACTTTACACTTAACTTCACCCAGACTTTGTTTCTGAAGACTGTTGTGCAATACACATTTATGCCCTTTCTCCCTCTGCCTTTAGTGCTCAAATTCACATTGACATTGTTTACAAACCTTAAGATCAATGCTTAATTGACATTGATAAATAACTTTCAGGGGGTTGTTAGCATAGACAGAATTGCAAAAGTTAAGTGTCAAGCATTTGGATTTATGTGTCCTTTCCAGGCCCAGGGGGATTTGGCATAGAGACCACCCACACATTCCACAACAGCGTAGAGGAAAGGTGTTGGACTGTGTAAAGTAATATGAGAACTGGGACAATTTGAAGTACATTTGGCAAGTCTTTGAGGTTGTTCTTTGTGTTGTGTGCATTTAAGGACATTTAATATTTTATTTCAACATGTAAGTTTATTAATAGAGTGAACAGACAATGTGTGAGATAAACATACAGAAAACATTCTGCTGTTTTGAGGATCAATAATATGTTTTTATGCACATGGCCCAGATTATACTAAAATACTAAAATATACTGACTGAAACAGTAAAAATATAATCTGTTCCTTTGTTCTGGGAAATTAGATGAACTTGAGGCTTGCAGAAAAATAAAGGTTTGTGTTGGAAAGCTAATGCCTGCAACTTAATTTTGCCACCAGTAGGCAAGGTGATACCCCTAGGTGGAGTACTGTCACATTTAAACATCTTAGTAGAAATCCTTCTATGCCAAATGCAGAGACGTAATTTCTCGTGTAAGGGGAAAAGAAGATGGCCATGTGGTAGAGAATTTTTTGGTCATGTTCTTCATACATACTCTTGAAGAACATTTCGTGCTGACTATTGTATAGTATTGGATTATATATTAAAAATGTATTTTTAGCATGACAAATACAATATGTATGTTTCAAATAATCGAAAGATTATTGAAAATCTTACCTGAATTGTAAATTAATTGGGATTCAACAGACTACTACTGTTGATGTCTTATCTCAGCCTTTTGATCCCACTGTGATACTCAGGGATGTCTGCTCAGTAGAGGTACTTGTGAAAGCATTCTGGAGAAGCATAACAATACACCTGACCTGATATTCTGTCCCTCCCTGGAAATTTGCTATTGGTCACTGTGAAACATAAAATATGGACCCAGATGGAGTTTTCATGTCCCGGGCACCTGAGAGACTGTACCATTTAAAGTAATAAACTACATTTTTGTATACTTTTGAGCCGACATGCTTCTGTATTTGCATTTATACACCTTATTTTATATTCTAGTTTCTATGGGATTCTCAAACCAAAAGTAAGGGCACCAGTGGATATTTCCATGTCATATTAAAAAAAAAAAAGCAGCAGAAAAAAGAAGAGTTGAGATCCAGGTTGAAATTCTTCTTCGTTATGATTTAATCTGATGTCCTTTCTCCTTCTGGTGAATGCTTCAGCTAATAAGTCACCAGCTCAAACTCATATGGTGTTCTAGCATAAATCTTTCTTATTTCTTTGGTTAAAGTGCTTCTGTCTTGTGTAAAATATTCACTGAGGTTGAGTGGTTTGAATAACAGATTGTAGAATAATTTTGACACTTCCAGCATGCAGTCATCATTACAAAATGCACTGTTTCAATTGAGAAAGATTTTTTTTTTTAAATAGTGGCATATCTATGTGTTGTTTTATACAAAAATTATTTGGTTCTAGCTGTCATTTAAGATGTGGAATAAAATAATGTTTCTGGAATAGAATGGACATACATGGTGGCTTGTGGGACCATACAATCATAGAGTAGAATATGTCAAGTTGGAAGGGACCCATAAAGATCACCTGCTTCTGGCAGGACAACGTAAAACTAAATCCTGTGACAGTAATACTCTTCACATGACAGAATACATTAAAAAGTGGTACATTACAACAGCAAAAATTGTATATAATGCTTTGAGTGGAAAAAAAATTGGGTCTTTTGTTTATAGCAGTATTATAATGTGACTCCAATACACATCTTGACTAAGAGTATAAGAAAACATGGACTGCTGACGTAAGTTTTCCAGTCCCACTTGAAGTGATCAAGTTAAACTACCTAACTGGTTGCATTGATTATTTGAGTGTGTCTGGGTGTATGTAACTAATTCCCAACCTCAAGATTCCTTCAAATAATTTTGAATTGAAAAGTGAGCTGTCATTCACTGTAGCAAAATAGACATCATGTAAATTGTACTCAGCAGCATAAACTGTATGTGAAGTTCAGTTTCCTTGAAGAATGTGGTGTCACAGAGATAAGTGTATTGAAAAAAAAAGCATTTAACTTCATGTTACTTTCAACTTCTGGAACATATTGATTCCTTTTCTTCATTAATGCACTTGTAATAGTAAATACTGCATAAAATTGAATGTAAGTGCTCTTCTAGCAGTGACTTTCAGAGTTTTGTTTAATGTGTTCTGGTGCTTTAAAGCTGAATGCTTTGTACCATCTAGAGTTTTATGTGAAAGTTTTATCTTTTGAATGTCCAGTTTTAAAGGTACTAATATAGTATAGTAAGGACACAGAGAACCTGAAAGTTATTTGTTCTGTTTCTTTGAGTAGTATTTAAAGTAACTGAGGTTTACATATCTAAAAGTTTCTGTGCCAAGGAACCACTTACTTTCTTGTTTTAAAAAAGAAGTTTTTTCAAATAATGCAAGTATGTCAGCACTAACTCTTTGTTAGTGACCTCTCAAGATTATTGATGATGATTATTGATTTTGGTGACCTCTCAAGATTATTGATGTGATGTTCTAAGCTTAGAACTTGTACTATTTTTAGAACTTTCTCACAGTAGAGAAGCTTGTACAGGTAGGACTCCACGGCAGATTACCACCAGTAAGCAGAGGTGCAGGACAGATGTTTCCACACAACCAGCAGGAAGAACTGTGCATCGTAGTTTTGGAGTCTTTGATGTAATTATTTACCCACATGCACTTACAAATCCTTGTGGGTACTCTGATTGTACTTGTATTTCCTCATGCAGATTAAATAGTATGGTTTGCTTCCTAATGTCTGCAAATAAAAAGGCTAAATATTTTATATCTAACAAATTAGTGTTTCTTATTAGTGCTTCAGGATTTTTGTTATTGTTTCCTGCACTAGAACTTATGTACTAAAACTGCTAAATATCTGTGAACAGATTATCTGTTTTCTTCTGGAGGTCCATCCCTGTTGCCACCCATACTTGGTATCTTACTAAACGTAATAACGATAATTCCTTTTAAAGTATTATCTCTTGCTTTTAGAAAAATGTACCCTGATGTATGTGACTTTTTGCCGCCTAATTATTTCTTGTGTAAACAATGATTGTTATGTCTTGATTAGGTTTCTTTGATTTACTGCTATTGACAGCTGGAGACTTGATTTACAAGATGGTATCACCATTATTTGAGCTGGAAAAGACATTCAGTGAATGAATAAACTGAGCAACATTTGTCATCACTGGAGCAACAGACAGCTAAGAACCAAGTCAGAGTGGGCAGAAAGGAAAAGAAACACGTCAGATTTTGGCAATCATTCTTTTCCACTTCAGCAGTTAGAGAGACAGCGATAAAAACTAAAAATGCAGCAGTTACAGTGCAATGTGCCCTGCTGGCAATAAGGCAAACAGTGCACTTCACAAGGACCAATTTAGAGGTGGCAAGCATTTTGAAAACACAGCTGTTCATACAAAGCTACCTTTCAAACACATCAACTCAGAGAGCACTTCTCAGTTCTTGTCATTATAACCACCCTGAGCAGTTCCATGGAAAGAAATCTGGAAATGTCACTAACCAAAAATTGGGCGTGAGACATTCCATAACTTGGTTTTAGTTATGGCGCACAGGGGTTTTTTGGGTTTTCTAAATGTTGATTATGAAAATATACAGACTGAAGATGGAATATTTAATATCTTTCTGATAATTTTATAAGGCTTTTTTTTCCTTATTTGTTTCATGGTCAAAACA